CTATTCAAGCATATGTTTTGCACAGTGGATGCCCTTTCAGCTGCAACCCATCACTGGAAAGCACCCAAACTCACTCATTCACAGACACACACACTCAGACACTACGGCCAGTTTAGTTGATCAGTTCTCCTATAGCGCATGTGTTTGGACTGTGGGGGAAACCGGAGCACCCGGAGGAAACACACACCAACACAGGGAGAACATGCAAACTCCACACAGAAACACCAACTGACCCAGCTGGGACTCGAACTAGTGACCTTGCTTGCTCTGAGGCGATCGTGCTACCCACTGCGCCACCATTACGCCCCAATAATAATAATACAGTGTGTTTTAGTCTATTCCTACAAATATATTTGTGCAACTTCAGACAGATTTTTTCCACACACACACACACACACACACACACACACACACACAGTATATATGACACTGATGGAGCTGAATAAATGTTGTGTGTGTGTGTGTGTGTGTGTGTTTCTACAGATCAGTGACAGATGACATTTCCAGCAGCAGCCGCAGATGTGCAGATCCTCTGTTCATACGCCTGTTATTATTCACACGGCTTATATAACACAGATCTGTGTGTCTTATGTAAGATCTTTAAGATCTGTGTGTGTGGTGAGACTGACACTTCTGCACATTAGAAGTACATACAGTGTGTGTGTGTGTATGTGTGTGTGTGTGTGTATTTCTATTTGTGTGTGAATATGTGTTTTTATAAGTGTGCAACCGTGCGTGTGTGTGTGTGTATGTGTATGTAAGTGTAAGTTAGTATGTGTGTGTGTATGGGACACAAACAAATAAATAGCGGACACACACACACACACACACACTAACATACTGATAACAAACTCCCAGATATCTCACACTCACTCACAGGTTAGGTACACCTCACTAGTACCGGGTTGCACCCTTTTGCCTTCAGAACTGCCTTAATCCGTGGTGTTGTAGATTCAGCAAGCTACTGGAAATATTCCTCAGAGATTTTGCTCCATATTGTCATGATAGCATCACACAGTTGCTGCAGATTTGTCGGCTGCACATCCATGATGCCAATGTCCCGTTCCACCACATCCCAAAGCTGCTCTATTGGATTGAGCTCTGGTGACTGTGGAGGCCATTTGAGTACAGTGAACTCATCGTCATGTTCACCAGTCTGAGATGATTGAGCTTTATGACATGCTGCGTTATCCTGCTGGAAGTAGCCATCAGAAGATGGAGACACTGTGCTCATAAAGGGATGGACATGGTCAGCAGCAATACTCAGGTAGCCTGTGGCGTTGATGCTCAATTGGTACTAATGGACCCAAAGAAAATCTCCCCCACACCATTACACCACCACCACCAGCCTGAACCGCTGATACAAGGCAGGATGATCCATGCTTTCATGTTGTTGAGGCCAAATTGTGAGCCGAGCATCCGAATGTGTCAGCAGAAATGGAGACTCATCAGAGCAGCAACGTTTCTCCAATCTTCTATTGTCCAGTTTTGGTGAGTCTGTGTGAATTGTAGCCTCAGTTTCCTGTTCTTAGCTGACAGGAGCGGCACCCGGTGTGCTCTTCTGCTGCTGTAGCCCATCCGCCTCAAGGTTGGACGTGTTGTGTGTTCAGAGATGCTCTTCTGACACTAAACTGACTTTAAAATTTGTGTTAAAATTCATTCATTCATTTTCCTTTGTCACAGCGGAATGAACCGCCAACTTATCCAGCATATGTGTTACATAGCGGATGCCTTTCCAGCTGCAACCCTATGCTCGGAAACACCCAAACACTCCCATTCACACACACACTCATACACTACGGCCAATTTAGTTGATCAGTTCCCCTAAAGCACATGTGTTTGGACCGGAGCACCCAGAAGAAACCCACGCCAACACGGGGAGAACATGCAAACTCTACACAGAAACACCGACTGACCAGGCTGAGGCTTGAACCAGCGACCTTCTTGCTGTGAGGCAACAGTGCTGACCACTGCGCCATTGTGATTATTTAAAAGGTTTTTCTATTGTGATCTTCAGCAAAACATGACATTAAATCAAATAATCTAATTAAAGGAAATGGTGAAATATTTCCTAAAATTAACATTTATGTTGCAATTAAAACTGTTCTCAGTAAAACACGGCATTCAATTAAATAAATGTAAAACATCTAAATTATTTAAATCAAAATGCATTGTTAATTGATATTAAAATACAGATTTTTCTCAGTAAAACACGAAGGTTATTAACAAAAATAAACAAATATGTTTAATATAATTGTAACCAACATATAAACTAATTTTTAAAACTACAAAGCAGGAAAACTACTAATTTTTAAAGCTACAAAGATCCTGATTTTCAACCAGTAGTGTACAGATGAGAAAGTAAAAGCAGTAAATCATAAATAGTGTGTAATTGGTCCATTTAGCAGGAGTACACAAGTGTTTTCCTCTGTTAGACAGAAATGCACACAGCAGAATACTGTACAGCTGCAGCCGCTCCTCATGTTTGTGTGTGTTTCGCTCGTCTGTCTGTGTGTAAAAGCTGCTGTCAGACCGAGAAGAACCCAAAACTGCTCTGGGATCAGTGTTTACGCTCCTGTGTGAGGTCTGCTTCTTCACAACAATATAATTATGACAATAACAGCTCTGCGCTTGCGACTGTGATTCAGTGTGTGTGTGTCAACAGTAATTACACACAACATATTTTGACACATGATTTGCCTTTCATCACTAAAGTCTGAAACACCGTCACTTCAGGAGAAATCTTCCCTGCTCTGCAAATGCCCTTTAATTTATTCTTAGAGGTGATGCTTTGTAGATTTGTGAGAAATCCAAGTTTTTCTTTAATAACTACATTTATCCATTGATAAAAACTAGCTTTAATTTAAGGTTTGAATCAGTATTTAATGTTTAATTAACAAATTTTTGTAATTTTATTGTGTTTTTTATTTTATTTGTTAAAAATTATTTATTATATTGGGGGTGAAGCAGTGGCGCAGTAGGTAGTGCTGTCGCCTCACAGCAAGAAGGTCGCTTGGTTGCTGGTTCGAGCCTAGGCTCAGTTGGTGTTTCTGTGTGGAGTTTGCATGTTCTCCCTGCGTTCGCGTGGGTTTCCTCCGGGTGCTTCGGTTTCCCCAACAGTCCAAACACATGCGGTACAGGTGAATTGAGTAGGCTAAATTGTCCGTAGTGTGAATGTGTGTGTGGATGTTTCCCAGAGATGGGTTGCGGCTGCAAGGGCATTCGCTGCTTAAAAACTTGTTGGATAGGTTGGCGGTTCATTCCACTGTGGTGACCCCGGATAAATAAAGGGACTAAGCCGTTAAGAAAATTTATGAATGAATATATATATATATATATATATATATATATATATATATATATATATATATATATATATATATATATATATATATATATATATATATATATATATATATATATATATATATATATATATATATATATATATATATATATATATATATATATATATATATATATATATATATATATATATATATATATATATATATATATATATATATATATATATATATATATATATATATATATATATATATATATATAAATATATATATATATATATATATA